CACACACACACACACACACACACACACATCCTTAGCCAGGTGCTGGTGGCTCAGATTAATCCTAGCTACTCAGGAAGCTCAGTTCTGAGGATTGTGGCTCAAAGCCAGCTGGGACAGGAACGACCATGAGACTCTTATCTCCAAAAGATCTTGAGCTGTGGCTCAAGTGGTAGAGCACCAGGCTTGAGCACAAAAACAGGAGAAAACCCAGGCCCTGTGTCTAACACCCAGAACTGATAAACACAAAAAAATATTCCTTCTTCGAGGGGATATATAGTACACTGAAAAAAAACTGTGTAGGATATGGTATAATATGTTCTAATCACTATGGTACAGATTTGTAGATTGAAATAGGTTACATCAGAATAAATTTACAAATAAACATATTGTCCTCAGACAATATATATACCAATGGCCGATCATACTCTAAATGATTTTAAAATGTTATAGCTGACATATCTAAATTAAATTTTTTTCTGTAGAAGCCATAATTGGTTGATAGCAAAACAAGAAAAGAAATACTATTTTTTTGGCGGGGGGTTCAGTCGTGGGGCTTGAACTCTGGGCCTGGGCACTGTCCCTCAGCTCTTCAGCTCAAGGCTAGAGCTCTACCACTTGAGCCACAGAGCCACTTCCAGATTTTTTTATGGAGGGGGGGTCCGGTCGTGGGGCCTGAACTCGGCCTGGGCACTGTCCCTTAGCTCTTCAGCTCAAGGCTAGTGCTCTACCACTTGAGCCACAGCGCCACTTTCAGCTTTTTTCTTTTTTCTTATGTGGTGCTGAGGAATCGAACCCAGGGCCTCAGGCATGCAAGGCAAGCACTCTACCACTGAGCCACCTTCCCAGCCCCCCGGATTTTTTCTTTTTGCTTATGTGGTGCTGAGGAATCAAACCCAGGGCCTCATGCATGCAAGGCAAGCGCTCTACCACTGAGCCACCTTCCCAGCCCAAGAAAAGAAATACTATAAAGCTATATGAAATCTAACCACTGTAAGTATAGGTAATCGTTATGTAAATGGAAATAAAAATAATACCTGTATGGATAGCCATGATACTTAGATCTGAAAATAGACAGCATCCAACTGAAGAATAGCACAACAAGTCCAATGCCAGCTAAGCACATTACTGCAGAAAAGCAGAAAGATGGCAAAATGAGCAGTTGGAATAAAATAAACCAGGGCAAAAATATTAGTTTATACTTGCAAAGAGTAAAAGGGTTGCAATTTATTGATAACTTCCCAACAGTTTTGCCCATTTAATATTCTAGAAAGTGTTTTTCTTTAAATCAGCCCCATTACAATGTAACAGCAACTCTATTTATATCCTTGAGTGATTCAACACCAGGAAATAATGCATTCCTTAAAAAGGATCACACCCAAGAATTTATTGTTAAAAATTGTGGCTCCATGCCTATAATCCTAGCTACTCAGGAGGCTGAGATCTGAGTATTTTTTAAGATTTTTAAAGCATTTTAAGGTATAAAGCCAGGCAGAGCAGTAAATTCATGAGACTTTTTTTTTTTTGGTCGGTCATGGGGCCTGAACTCTGGGCCTGGGTGCTGTCCCTCAGCTCTTCAGCTGTAGACTAGCGCTCTACCACTTGAGCCTCAGCCCCACTTCCAGCTTTTTCTGCTTATGTGGTGCTGAGGAATCAAACTGAGGGCCTCATGCATGCAAGGCAAGTATTCTACCACTGAGCCACCTTCCTAGTCCCCCCCCTTTTTTTGCCAGTCCTTGGGCTTGAATTTAGGGCCTGGGCACTGTCCCTTAGCTTTTTTTACTCAAGGCTAGCACTCTACCACTTGAGCCACAGCACCACTTCCGGCTTTTTCTGTTTATATGGTACTAAGGAATCGAAACCAGGGCTACATGCATTCTAAGCAAGTACTCTACCACTAAGCCACCTAGCCTTTGTGAGATTCTTTCCTTCCAATTAACCACCAAAAAGCCAGATGTGGAGCTGGCTGAAGTGGTAGAGCTCCAGCCTTGAGCAAAAATTCTCAGAGACAGTGCCCAGGACCTGAGTTCAAACCCCAAGACTGGCACAAAACAAAACACCCAAAAACTGTCTTATTAACAAAATCACCAGTTCCCAAACTTCATTTAAGATCTTAACAGTTGTCTTAGAAGGATGGGTACAGTAGCTCAGGTCTATAATTCCAGCTACTAACAAGAGTGAAATAAATAGCATGCTTATTCTATAACTAAGGGGGGAAATGGGCAGCTATTACTTTTTTTTCCTGTAGTAAATGCAGAACTGTTTTCATTGTTTACTATTATTATCATTATTATGTTATCATAAGGTAATGACTTACACTTTCTCTTCCCAATATCCATGTCAGAGGTAGCAGCTTCACATAAAAGCACCATCCCTAAAGTAACCCCACCATCTTGGAAAACATGTTTAAGGAGAAATTCACATAGACACAAAGCATATACCAAATTTAGTATTCCATTTCTCCTGAAGATAATTTAAATGAATTAATACTAGTCTTCAACACTTAGCTTCAAGAAAATTAACCCGGGCTGGGAAGGTGGCTCAGTGGTAGAGTGCTTGCCTTGCATGCATGAGGCCATGGGTTCGATTCCTCAGCACCACATAAGCAGAAAAAGCTGAAAGTGGTGCTGTGGCTCAAGTGGTAGAGCACTAGTCTTGAGCTGAAGAGCTGAGGGACAGTGCCCAGGTCCAGAGTTCAGGCCCCACAACCAGCAAAAAAAAGAAAGAAAGAAAGAAAATTAACCCGTACTAGTAATCTATACAGTTTGGAAATTATGTAGTACAAATACATACAAATTGGGCTGGGAAGGTGGCTCAGTGGTAGAGCATTTGCCTTGCATGCATGAGGCCCTGGGTTCAATTCCTCAGCACCACATAAGCAAAAAGAAAAAAAGCCAGTAGTGGCGCTGTGGCTTAAGTGGTAGAGCGCTAACCTTGAGCTGAAGAGCTAAGGAACAGCGCCCAGGCCCAGAGTTCAGGCACCACAACCGGACCCCAAAAAAAATACATAAAAATTAAGACTAGAAGATGACTTCATTTGGACAAAGGAGAACTGATATTTTAGTCTGACATCTCACCATAGTCTGACAGATAAAAGACAAGGATTTTGGTAATCACATTCAATTGTTGCCCTAACCTCATACACATTAAATAGCCATTTTCAGCATTTTAACCTCCTCCCAAAAGTACACACTGGAAAAAGAAACACCAATTAGAATAACTCACTTGTATTAGGAAAGAAATGTCTCAAATTTTTCTCCACAATTGTAACAACTAACTTTTCAAGCACAAATTACTACTAAGCTACTTAATTTTGCTTTATTCTATTTATTTATTTTTTTGGGTCCGGTCGTGGGGCCTGAACTCTGGGCCTGGGCGCTGTCCCTCAGCTCTTCAGCTCAAGGCTAGCGCTCTGCCACTTGAGCCACAGCACCACTTCCGGCTTTTTTTTTATGCTTATGTGGTGCTGAGGAATCGAACCCAGGGCCTCTTGCATGCAAGGCAAGTGCACTACCACTGAGCCACCTTCCCAGCCCTTGCTTTATTCTAATACAAAAAAAAAATCCTTACTTTTATTGAACTTAGTAATGGGAGCTTTGTGAAAACAGAATGCAGCTACCTATTTGCATGGTTGGATGTTAAAAATAAGGAGCATCAAGTTCCAAATAAATACATTATTTTCTAGCAGAAATAAGAAATTCACCCTGCAATTTAGCAACACGAACAGCAGCAAAAACATCCTCAAATTAATTATGCATACATGCATGTGCCCTGTGTACCACAGTATGCGGGTAGTATAATTAAGAGAAAGACAAAACTAGGTGTTCAGAAGAAGCCCTGAATACATAATTTGCTCTACAACCTCATGATTCATCCTGGTTGTTACCATGTTCCACTCTCTTCAATAGGCTCTTGTTAGGAATGAGGCCTATTCAGCATGGCTTTTCAGCTGCTCAGCCAAGTCTTTTCTCCAGCGATTTTCCTTACTGAGGTTCTTTGTGTCCTGATTAGAGCAAAGGTGGATCATTTCTGCTGGTTTTCTTTACCAGGATCTCAGATTCATGATTAAGACTTCTATTTTGGAAACTGCTTGTCTTTGGATCATGGACTATATGCATGTATTTTTGTTGGTATATTTGTTTCTGCCAGTACCGGGGCTTGAACTCAGGACCTTGTGATCTTGCTCAGCTTTCTTGCTCATATTTGGTACTCTACCACTTGAGCTGTGCCTCCAGCTGCTATATTGGAGACAGAGTTTCATGTACTTTTCTGCTCAGGCTGGCTTTCAACTGCATTCCTCTAGGTTTTAGCCTCTTGAGCTAGGATTACAAGCTTGAGCCACTAGTGCCTGGTAACACCTGCATTGTTAATTAACTATTGCTTTCTTATGCAGTAAAGAAAACTGTTCTCTAAAATCATAAATTGTTTGAAATTACATCAGTAAGCATGAAACATTCTACCTTTCTTCATTTTTATTTTCCTGGAGGATTTAAGCCCCTCAATTTAAAAGTGTAATTTCTGTGGGGGGGGGGCGTGTTGGTTGTGGGGCTTACACTCAGGGCCTGAGCACTGTCCCTGAGCCTCATTGTGTTCAAGGCTAGCACTCTATTACTTGAGCCACAGTGCCACTTCCAGTTTTTGAGTGATTAATTAGAGATAAGAACCTCACTTTTCTGCCCAGGCTAGCTTTGAACAGCGATCCTCTGATCTCAGATTCCTGAGTAGCTAGGATTACAGGAATGACCACTGGCACCCAGCTACAAGTGTAATTTCTAAGGAGCCTAAATTACAACCAACACAAATCTCAAACTTTGTTAAGACAAAATCTAAATTATCTTAAGATTTTCATTTTCTAAGGACCTTTGGGTCCACTTATAATGGTCTAGATCATAATTTTTTTTGTCAGTCATTGGGCCTGAACTCTGTCCCTCAGCTCTTCAGCTCAAGGCTAGCGCTCTACCACTTGATACAAAGCGCCACTTCTGGCTTTTTCTGCTAATGTGGTGCTGAGGAATTGAACCCAGGGCCTCTTGCATACAAGGCAAGCACTCTACCACTGAGCCACCTTCCCAGCCCTAAAAAATTTTATGTTACTTTATTTTATACCAAGCTCTATCTCCAGCCCCTGAAGCACTGTTTTAATAGCTTAAACACAATACTAGGGCCTAAGGATGAAGTGGTAGGACACTCATATACAAGACTCTGGATTTGATCTGTTGCACTGCAAAGAACAAACATAAGCAGAAAGAACAAAAGAAGCCAGGTATAGTGGTGCAGGTCCATAATTCCAGCATTCTGGAGGTAAGGCTGAAACAGGAAGATTATGAGCTCCAGCTCATCCTGGGCTATATACAACTTTGTTTAAAAAGCAAAACTCCCAGCCAGGCACAAGTGGCTCATGCTATGCTGGAGGCTGAGATCTGAGAATCATGGTTCAAAGCCAGCCAGGGAGCCGGGCGCCAGTGGCTCATGCCTGTGATCCTAGCTGCTCAGGAGGCTGAGATCTAAGGATCGGGGTTCAAAGGCAGCTCAGGCAGTGAAGTCTGTAAGACTCATCTCCAATAAACCACTAGAAAACCAGAAGTGGCATTGTGGCTCAAGCGGTAGAGCACTCGCTTTGAGCTAAAGAGCACAGGGACAGCGCCCAGGCCCAGAGTTCAAGCCCCTTGACTGACAAAAAAAAATTTTAAAAAGCCAGCAAGGGCAGGAAAGTCCATTAAGACTCTCATCTTCAATAAACCACCAGAAAACTGGCAGTGGATCTATGGCTTAAGTGGTAGAGCACTTGCCTCAAGCTGAAGAGCTGAGGGACAGCGCCCAGGCCCAGAGTTCAAGCCCCATGACTGACACAAAAAACAAACATCCCAAATAAAAAGCACACAACTAAAATCCCCAAAAACTATCCTTCATTTATATTTTACCTTAACTCCACTCTTTCTCCAAATCCTTACCACCAGGCTTATCTTTTCATCATACGACATAAAGGGCTGGGAATGTGGCTTAGTGGTAGAGTGCTTGCTTAGTATGCAGGAAGCCCCGAGTTCGATTCCTCAGTACCACATAAGCAGAAAAAGCCAGAAGTGGCGCTGTGGCTCAAGTGGTAGGGTGCTAGCTTTGAGCAAAAGAAGCTCAGGGATAGTGCCCAGGCCCTGAGTACAAGACCCAGGACTGGAGGGAAAAAAAAGAAGATATCAATACTTCTGATTTGTAACAATGAAGTGACAAACCTAGCTTTATCAAACTTTAGGTTTTTCCTTGGTGATCTTTAGCTTAGTGGGCTAAAATGGAGGACCCAAAAACCATGACTTCCAAAGAATATTATGGATTTGCATTAGGAAAGCAGTACCAACCAAATGCTGTACAGTGGATACTATCTTGTGAGAAAAACAGGCGTTAAAATGGACCTACAAAGACTTCTTATAAAAGGATACTGAAGAGAAGAACAATGTGTGTTTCAGCTACAAATTGGGCTTGGCTGCTTCCATGGATATAATTCTGGGGAGAGAAGACAAAATGAAACCTTTAACTATACATTAAAGGGCTGGGAAGGTGGCTCAGTGGTAGAGCACTTGCCTTGCATGCATGAGGCCCTGGGTTCGATTCCTCAACACCACATAAGCAAAAAGAAAAAAAGCCGGAAGTGGCGCTGTGGCTCAAGTGGTAGAGCGCTAGCCTTGAGCTGAAGAGCTGAGGGACAGCGCCCAGGCCCAGAGTTCAGGCCCCACGACCGGACCCCCCCTCCATAAAAAAATCTGGAAGTGGCGCTGTGGCTCAAGTGGTAGAGCGCTAGCCTTGAGCTGAAGAGCTGAGGGACAGTGCCCAGGCCCAGAGTTCAGGCCCCAAAACTGGACTCAAAATAAACAAAACAAAACAAAAAGAAAGTCAGGAACAGCACTCAGGTCTTGAGTTCAGGCCCCTGACTGGTATGCACACTCACGCGCGCTTGCATGCATGCTCTCGTGCTCTCTCTCTCTCTTTCCCTCTCCCTTCCTCCCCCTTCCCCACGGACACATGTACACACATGCAAGCACACTCAGAGTACATATTATCAGTTCTGGGAAGCTTTGGTTATCCTAATGAGATAGTGGAGGAAATGAACTGACAAAAAGGTAGAAAAATATGCCAAAATCCATTCCCTCAGATTAGAAATAAAATGCTATTCCTCATGCAAATGAAAATTTACCTAAAAACAAACAAACAAAAAAGCCGGAAGTGGTGTTGTGGCTCAAGTGGTAGAGCGCTAGCCTTGAGCTGAAGAGCTGAGGGACAGTGCCCAGGCCCAGAGTTCAGGCCCTCGACTGGACGCTCCCCCGCAAAAAATTACCTAAAAACACAGGATCGGTTTGGGCATGGGGATTGAACTCTGGGCTTGGGCGCTGTCCCTGCACTCTTCAGCTCAAGGCAAACGCTCTACCACTTGACCCACAATGCCACTTCCGGTTTTCTAGTGGTTTATTGGAGATAAGAGTCTCACGGACTTTCCTGCCCAGGCTGACTTTGAACTGTGATCCTCAGATCTCAGCCTCCTCAGTAGCTAGGATTACAGGCGTGAGCCACCAGCACCTGGCTCACAGGATCAGGATCGGTTCTATGCAATTAATTTTTCTTCTAAAATTCACTCACCAAAGCTGCAAAGGCCCATCCAGTTTTATTAAAGAGAAATTCCATATTGCTTCTTCGAAGGTACACAAGGCCACCAATAACAGCCAAAAGCAATCCCAACATAAGAGGTCCAGCGTAATTGGGAGGTCTAATTACTCTAATCTAATAGAAAGGAGAGAAAATATTTTAAAGTATAAAATTTATTTCCTAATTAAATAATAAGGAAATAGAAAGCAATCATAAGGGAATGAAAGCAAGCAAAGTTCTTTTCAGGAAAAATACTTTTTCCCCCCCTTATTCCAATCCAAGCAGTCTATATCCTAAAATGGAAAGAAATACATCTAATATTCAGGTGACTCAAATTCTAACACCTTTTAGATGAAGAAGGGTTTTCTAAAGACAGGTAGATTTCAGTTGAGGAGAGTAGTTTCCAGGCTGGGCTCAATAAGGCAGCCCAGGATGCTTTGCAATCTCCCTCCATCAGGAGAAATCTGTTAACTGCCAAACTACTACTACCTCAGTGATTTGAGACAAGTCCAATTATGGCCTCCCAGAATGGTTCAAGGAGGGCAATGGAAATAACTTCTACAAAGTAGGGAGACTTACGTTGACATCAGTTCTGTCTGCAATCCACCGGGCAATCTGCTCAGCCGAAAACCCTCGCACCTGCAACTCATAGGTATCACCACGTTTGGGTTTTCCTTTTGCAGGAAAGTTGATGAACGTTGGAGCTGAATTCATGTTTAGCTGAATAAAGCATAGCCCATGGAAATATTATCAGGAAAATAATCTTTTTTTTTTTTTTTTTTTTACTGCTCTTGGGGATTGAACTCAGGAGCTCAGGTACTAATACTGAGCTTCTTTTGCTCAAGGCTAGCATTCTACCACTTGAGCCACAGCCCCATTTCTGGCTCTTTCTGAGTGATTTATGGGATACAAGAGTTTCATGAACTTTCCTGCTCAGGCTGTCATGAGCCACATACCCAACAAACCTTTTTTTGGGCCAGTCCTGGGACCTGAACTCAGGGCCTGAGCTTCTTTAGCTCAAGGCTAGTACTCCACCATTGAGCCACAGAGCCACTTCCAGTGTTTTCTCTTTATGAGGTACTGAGGAATCGGACCCAGGGCTTCACACATGCTAGGCAAGCACTCTACCACTAAGCAACAGTCCCATCCCTCAGCTAATCTTTTCTTTTTTTGGTCCCAACCTGGGGTTTGAACTCAAGGCCTTGGTGCTGTATCTGAGCCTTTGTGCTCAAGGCTAGTGCTCTATTACCTAAGCCACAGCTCCACTTCTGGCTTTTTGGTGGTTTATTGGAGATAGTTTTACAGACTTTCCTGCCTGGGCTGGTTTTAAACTATGATCTTCAGATCTTAACCTCCTGAGTAGTTAGGATTACATGGATGAGCTACCAGTTCCTGGCAAGAAAATAATCTTAATCAGGGGCTGGGAAGGTGGCTCAGTGGTAGAGCTCTTGCCTTGTATGCATGAGGCCCTGGGTTCGATTCCTTAGCACCACATAAACAAAAAGAAAAAAGCCGGAAGTGGCACTGTGGCTCAAGTGGTAGAGTGCTAGCCTTGAGCTGAAGAGCTGAGGGACAGCGTCCAGACCCAGAGTTCAGGCCCCATGACCGGACCCAAAAAAAAAAAATTAAAAAAAAAAATCTCACGGACTTTCCTACTCAGGCTGGCTCTGAACTTCGA